GTGTGTGAACAGAACTTGGGCAGAACTAGAATTTGTTCGCCACAAGCTCCCATGAGTGAACTCGTTCGTAAAACGAGTAACTGGCTATAAAAAAAAACACCGGTCAAAGTTGCACTGCTTAGCCCGGAAGGATTCACTGCAACAGTGACTCGAGGCACTAGTCGGTAACATTCTATGGAGGCCATACACGCGTGCATACGCAACTAAGAAGGAATGGTGCCGCATTCGCTCTCATCTGTCATCTTCGCCTTTGTGTCGATGTACGTTTATAGCTGCTTTTGCCGCTGACGGAAATAAGCATGTTTATTGGATCGCGTTTCAAGCAAGGTTTACGACGCGATGTTTCGTTACCGCGAGCAAAGTATAATTGTTACCATAACAACAGCGTAGACGCTCTCACAGCGGCACACTTGATTGCAACGTACTCCACCGTATGCCAGGGGTATAAATGCCCGTACCCTATACGGCTCGTCCCGGACATCGGCCTGATGATACTCGATACATGGAAATATGGGCCAAAGAAATGCAAAGCTATGGAAATCTGATGGCATCATCCACGGCATAATATTGTGAATGCGTGCGTCTGTGCGCGCGCGCGACTTAGGCCCTACAAGAGGCACAAGGTAACAAGTGAGGCATTGTGCGAATTTCCTGAATGTAAAGCGAAACAATTATTGTGGCCACTTCGACACGCGCCGGCAGGTGACTGCTACCTTGAGCTTACACGTTACTACGAAATTACCAAAGATATAAATATACTCTTACTAATCCCTATATGGTCAGCCATGATGATCTATGCATATGGTGATACATAAAATGAACCTGACATTACCAAAAGTTAGCACATTATTATAAGAGTAATCATCAAACTTTATAAATTCACAAATTTGCGTCACTATATATATATTTACAAAAGCTATATATATATAGCTGATTTGAAATTATATCATGTTTATCCATGCATGTACCTTGTGATTCTGTGTTTGCACTGGCAGTAGCCAATCCAGTTTCATAGCTATGTCGATTTTCTCCTTCTATTTCTATTTTATTTCTATTCGACAAATTAACTATCTAGGTAGTTTTCTGCTTGGCAAGATTTCTGGATCACTCTCTACTTACTCATCAGAAATGCATGAAAACAAATGTCTTGTAGACTTACAATTTAGACTAAACAATTAACACGTAGTGACACTGTGATGTACATAATTAATTATAATACGCTACAACAACTGGACAAAAACTTATACTTTCTGCCATAGAAAATATGTTATGTTGAGTAAATAAAATGTTTTGTCTCGTGGCTTTTCCAGGTATGACCTCCCTCTCGTCTACCTTCGCAGATGATATGTGTGACTGTGTGAATGTGAATGTGTGAATGTGTGAATGTGTGAATGTGTGACTTTGTGAATGTGACAAAAACTTTGAAATGACATGAACTTGTGACATGAACATGTGACATGACATGATTGTGACATGAACTTTGTGACTGTGTGAATGTGTGACTTTAATGGGGTGATACTCAATTAGGAGTGTTCCCAACTTTAATGTCATTAATGGTCATAATAACATATGGTCATGGTCATATATATTAGTTTGTTGTTTAATGTCATTTAGGTTAGGGTTAGGGTTAGAGTTAGGATTATCAATCATTAATCGTTAATCATTAATGATATCAAAGTTGGGAACACTCCTAATGGAGCGTTAGCCTAAATATGTGAGTGCATTACTACCGCAGAGGCGCATTTTCATGCTGTATAATTAGGTGATTGCCCTTTAAGCCTTGTTGTGATCATGAGCGACAGGGTCCCCAATTATCTATTTAAGGAAAGTCTACCCTTAGTGAAAGCCCGCCCAAAATGACAGCGCACACTGATACGTGTCACGTGCATGCTGCGTCACGCGACACTACCGTCACGACGCGATAACATTGTCGGTGTTCACGCGGGTCAGGTCAACGCTGGCATCATCCCGCTAAGCTGGCTTAGCCGTGCCTGTCTGGAACAATAGCTGCCTGTGGTTGTGGCCCAGTTGGAGATGCGCCCAAAGAGCTAATCACTGCAATAGTTGCCCGGGAGACCGACAGGCGTCCTTTGGTGTGTGCGCGCGCGTGGCGGCACGGGCAGGGGGAACTGCACCGTACTGTGCGTAACCAAGACACGTTATATAAAATAGCACAATCTCTCTGGGACTGTTGTTATTATCAAGAGCAAATAAACTGTGTATATGTCATGAACATATCAGGAGCGTATAATGACATTATTGTCATTATACGCTCCTGAACATATTTGATGTCATCTACCCCCCCTTATCCCCCTTGATTCCCTTTATCTACTCCTGTTATTATGAACCTATTATAAGGGCCCATCGCAATATCCTGCTTATCCGTAGGGAATAAACCACCCATCAATGCATGTAAGCCATTGCCGCCAACTTATGAAGGTTATTGGCACCATCATCACGACGTGAAAGGTCTGGATTTTGTTCCTATCTATTATAGTGAAATTGAATTGGTATGTTTTAATTGTTATATCTATCGCATTATATCTATCTAATATATAATATTATATTCACCGAATTTACTGTACATCGCTACATGTGTTGTTCGTTAAATAATTTATATTTAATTTATATTTTTTTCCTATTGCTAATCATGGAGATCATATAGCAGAATAAAAATTCACTTTTCACAGAGATAAACCTAATCCACAGCCAGTTCAATTTCACTACATGTGATGAAAAACCTGGTTTTTTATACTACGTGCGCATCATTGTTTGCACAATTTTCAGAACTGCCAGTTTAAAAAACAAAACCGAGTGCAAAATTGCTGTGTTCACTAAATTATTGTAATCCTTAAATTACTCAATAAGAAACGGTGCCGGTCTATTGAACAGCTAAAAATGTGCTTACTGCGACTAGGTATAAATAATACTGCAACTGACGCTGTAAAGAACTATCATCGACTTAAAACAGTTTTTTACCCGTCTTTATATGGGATACATAGGCCTATATAATGTGTGCGTGTATAATATACCTTTTCATACTATATTATTATTATAGAAGGGGCATCGTAACGAATTCTCTAGGCTATACTAAATTCCTCCTGGGAATTCCGCGGATTCGAACGAATGGAGAAGTCGAAGCTAATTACTACATCTGACCTCAGCTGCGAAATTGGTGCGCATTACACACGGGTGCACACCGGTGACGGCAGCGCACAGATTACAACACCACACTGCTTGTCCCAAATTACTACGCAGATGGGTACCGCATCCGTGGCATATGGTCAATGCTCTTGACCTTCAGATTACCAGAAAGGCACGTTCTGGTCACTAATGCCTGCACGCATAGATATATGCTTCCTACCATTCTATTCCAGCTTTCAGGCGAATAGCAGCCGGTCGGTCACCTGAGAGGGATCACCCCAACCAGCGACCCTAACAATTTAATCACTAATGACAGGATGACATCCACATACATACACGGCTGTGTTCGAGTATGTGCCGTCATATGGCCTTCTCTTTGTATGCACACGTGGGTGTATGAGTGTGTGCGTATGCGTGTGCGCTACGCGCGTAGGCTACTGTGTGTGCGTGCGTGTGCGTGTGTTGTGCATATGCGTGTGTACAGTAGTACTGAATTGTAATGAATATATACAATCGAAACTATGTAAAACAGACCTCACCCATACCATCCACCCCCTGGCATCAGACGTATATCAGTCAGACAGTACATACGTAACAACATTTCTAATATGGCAAAGATAACTGGTACTAAGATACTGGCAAGATCGCCTGGTCACATCAGTTTTGCTGATATTTTACAGACCTCGGATGAGTAACACTAGTAGCGGGGTTAGGTTGGAGCAACAAGTGGGCGATAGCTGTAACTCTAGTAGGACCATATGGCAGGTTTCTTCCATACAGCAGCCTCGTGCAGAGGAATAAACAAGACACGGTTGTCGTACTCTGTGAGACTCTCACTGAGAGTAGGACTGCCAAGTTCTACTTACAATGATCACAAATTTAAGTTTCAAACGTAACAAATCCAGTACACTGCCGATTTACAAACAGGGAAGATTACGCACAGTTAAAAGAACATTTTCATACACGAAACGAATAATATATTTAAAGTTAAAATTTTGTCACCGAGTTGACTTTCTGACTTTTAAATCATGGATTGCAAATACCTATGAAACGCCAGCATGTATAAACTGTCCAAGAATCATAGCATAAACTAAACAGTTATTGTGGTTCTCAATAGAGCTAACCAGCACTAAACGAACCGGTGCTACTGTTACTTCAATACTGGATGTCGTGCGCTAGACAGAAGTAATGTTTCGTAACACAAGAAATCAATGTAGATTTGATTGCCGACTTAGTGACTGGTCAAGGTTATATGTGCCCTGTGTATGGTCTGTGCCAGTGAACACTCTTCCACAAATGCTTTTTCCAAGTAATACCCACAATACACATGGTCATGAAATGTAAACACTGCGAGGTCTAGTTGAATGGGGGCCAGAGTAAACATGTGTAATGGACGAGCCTCCACATGCACACACATACACACATATATATATACCATGAACTGTCTTGTATTACTAGCCTTGAATGTACAAGGCAGGAATGAAAATAAACATTTAGAAATCTCAGCTGGGTGCTTCTGGGATAGAAATGAAAGAAGTGGTCAAAACCTGTCGTCTGGATGCTTGTGTTTGCTTGTACGCATACCTCCATAAATACATGTCTAGACAGATATTGGTGAATATATATAAATCAAACCAAACATGTTGAATGCGAACAAGCATGTGTTCTATTAAATATCTGAAGATTTACTATAGATAACTGTAAAAATTACGTTTGGGAAAACTCCTATATTGATAACTTAAATGTGACATGCTAATTCACACTGATCACAATATTCTTCAAGAACCACAGCAGCCTTCATAAAAAAGTATTCACTCCAGCAATTCTAAAAATACTCCACTAGAAAATCTACTTACTTCGTCCATATCCTTGTGTGTGCTTTGAAAAACTGTTCACCACCGCATCCACTGCTTCCTTGAGAACCATTTTTGCTGAACCATTGACTGGAATCCACGAAGGAATGCCCGGAGTCCATGCTTTGCTTCCTTGGGTTGGGTATCCAGGAACAATAGGTGGTGCAACAGGACGTGCAATGTTTGGTTGTCGGCGTGCCATGGGACTTTGAGCTGAAGCCATATCTTGCTTGTTAGCCCACAATTTCGGGCTTTTCTTTTAAAAATCCTACTCTGTGAGATATTAAAATAGTGTAGGTGTTAGGTGTATATAAAACAATTCTGTTTAAGGTGAAAACTTACTTGGAGTTATGGAAAGCTGGCATGTTTGTAAATAAAAAGGATACTGGTCAGCCGCTTGCATTCAGCAAAAGAGACTTGTCAGTTACATCCGCTCCAACGTACAGATGATGAGAGTTTAAGTGTATATTGGGCTGCTACCTTTTCATAATAAAATATAATCATCTGTCCCATGTTATTAGCTTGAAACAGTTAGCATGGTATTTTACTTAATATTAACTAATATTTCTTAATAGATGGTGTCCAAATACTCCTCTATATTCTATAACACACAATCTCATCGCAAATACTCCACTGCCCGCACAAACCCACAAAAGATATAGCCGTTCAGAAAACATGAGTGCCAAAATTGCATCCAGTTTGCTTCATTTCAAACTATCACAGTACAAATATACAACCAAGCTCATCCATCTCTATATATTTGTTTGCTTGTTAAAATTATCAGTCTTCCACTGAATACAACTCAATTCAACCATAAAACGTTGCAAAATTCTGCAAAATGTAGTCTCTCTGTGGAAAAGTAAAGCTGAATAATTAATGGTAGATATCTGCATATCCCTTCATTATGGGAGTAGGCTTCTTTCCAGTACCTGGCTTGGATTGGAGCTAGATGGCATGGCTCGTCTTGAAGCTCAGAAGCAGAGGGCAGTTAGCACATATGCAGTGTGCAGCCATTTATTATGCACTAACCACTCATTATTATTTTAATTACCATACAGATTACAGACAGAATTTTCCACAAGGTTACCTAGGTAAATGAAGTTGTACCCAGTAGAAAGAAAGCTGGTAATTTTATCAAGTGAACATTGGTCTACAAGCAGATACAAACACGAAGGTTATGCATTTGTTGCTCAACCTTAGTTTTGGACCCTGGTATATGTAGTGCGCATATATGTGCTAAACTAGGATTTGGCCAAATTTGTGCTGCGATAGATAGAAACGAAGCAAGCAGTTTATTATTTTGGTGCTTTCCTACCTGCTAAACTTCTGCTAAGTTTAGGCACAGTGGCATCTGTGCAGTGCAGAGAGTATCAGAATGGTGCTTATGTGAATTTATTAGGTGATACAGACTACATAAATTAAACTTTTGCAGTGATTAATCATTTTAATGAGGGATTATTCCCTATCATTTCATTACTGGAGTAGTCCAAGTGCCGCTGAGAGGGTCTATGTCCCCCGGGGTACTGCCGGAACGTACCCTGGGTACGGTGGGGTATACCGGAACGTACCCTGGTACTATCTAATATGCCGGACCGTACCTAAACATTGGTCTACAAGCAGACAAACACGAAGGTGTCTGGTTATGCATTTGTTGCTCAACCTTAGTTTTGGACCCTGGTATATGTAGTGCGCATATGTGCTAAACTATGATTTGGCCAAATTTGTGCCAACGTTCCGGCAGTACCCTGGGGGACATAGACCCTATGAGCCCAAGTGCCTGTGATTATCTACTACAAAGTACAAGTAGTACTAGTGTTACAGTGTGCATGCAATACCAAACTGCATGCCACAACAAATATCATCCATTGGTAAAATTTATTAGAGTAACAGAACATTCGTATACACAACAATTTAGATATGGTGCACGGCACATACAATATCACATACGAGTTGAGCTAAAGCTACGGGATGCATTTTCTAGTACTACTAGTACTACTACTAAGTAATGGTACCTACACATCAAGTAGGTAGATATACAAATTACAATGTACATCAAGAGTAGATGATAAAACATTGTTTTATCATCTACTCTTGATGTACATGCATCTAGCTCCCTGGTAGTGATGCACACCAGTGTAACACATGTGTAACACAGTGTAACACAACAGTGGCACATCATCACAACACAACACTTGTCGCAATCACAACGCAGTGATACTGATTACCCTATGCAGCTAAACTATTCTCTAGCTAAACGTTCTCCATTTTACATTTACATTTAATTACACTCTCTGTGGAAGCATATGAGTTTCTCTTACCCAATGGCAATGATATTAGTAGTGCATATATCTCACAGGCTCCAAATTCACATCTACACTACAAGATACGAATCGATCATACCTATGATCATACGAAGAAAGTTTCAAAACAAGATAGACGTACCGCTCAATGGCGCTTCAATCGCTGATGCGATCTGGGATCATGGCGTTGTGATGGCTGTCCACCAATAAAAATTGTATCGATACATTACAACTACACAGGTAAGTTAGTTGTGGGAATGATGTATTTTTGAGCAAACTCGCATATTTATGACAATGAGTAAGTAATACAAGCTAGGTTACCCACTACCCACTTTCAATCGCCATGTGCAGACATCGTAACCCGGAACCCTAAATCCATCATGTTTCATTGTTTGACTAACAACATTGTTGAATTTATATTTTCGCTTTCATCGATCTGCCTGCCTACCGAAAAATCGCATTGAACAATATACACTAATTCACCGGACATATATTAGCATATCCATATATCTGATATATACGCATGTAATATATTTTAACCTAATTTATTTTATAAACATTTTCTTAGGGTTCATTTTAAGGACTGCAGCGCCATCTATCCATATTAAGACTTGGTAATTTTATTTTTTCCTAGTATAACATAAATTATTATTATTGTTGGTTATATTATTATTATT